TTTGCGGCTTAAGTAGAAAAGGAAAATTCCGACACAAAATAGACAAAGTTATTAATTAAACCTTTAATGGGTATTTTTTGATGTTTTTTTTGACTGTCTGAGAAAACACGCGTGGAAGCACATGCCAACTTTCCCAAAATGGGTAGGGCTAGTGTTGGCCTTGTGCCTCCCCTAATTTTTTTCGTGGCATTACAAAGCAACAGTTAACGCCAATTTGAAGGGTACAGGGCCCACCGGGTGGTCAATGTCAAAAAATATCGAGGGTTCTTGTTACTATGGAACCAAACCCCACACAAACCACATTTCAATGTCAAACCTTCAACTCCCCGGCTGCCCTACCGTGGAGGTGTGGTTTTGAGGGGCTCTTACATGCTGAGCTAAGTAACCCCCAAGGTCATCTTTCAATTTAATTTAATCTATGCTATTCATTCCTAATGGGCCTGAAAGGAAGGTCAGCATAGCGTGTCACTTTTTCCCCCAAAAACCCCAACGGGGTAACCCACCCAAAAAAACACAAACTAATTGGGGTTCCCTCTTTTCCCCGGCTGTAAGCAGTGCTGGGCTTTGAACAGACCAAACCAGAATGAAACCAGACCGGGAGGGAATTGAGTGATGTTTTAAGGGGGCAGTTGCCGTCTTGAGTATTATTTAGTGGATATTCTCCTGTCACTAAATAACATTCTGTTATTTCTGTAATGAGTTTGGCTTCTTTCAAGGGATTTTATGTCCACCAGTAGGAACCCCCCAAAACAGTTGGGGGAAATTTAACCCAATACCAGATTTTTGAGTTTTTTAGAAAATCCTGGGCGTTGCTTTATTGACGTTGCAAAGTAATCCCCTGTTGAACAGGGCCCTGCAATGGATCTTTATCAAACCATCGTCTGATGTGTGCATGTTTGCCATTTTCTCGATATGGCTCAGGAAAACCTTAGCCCCCCTCGGTGTTGTATACCAAAGCGACAAACCCTTGTAGAGTAACCAATAGGGGGCTTTAGAACCAGGTGTTTCCGTTCGGAGGTTTCCATCAAAACCCATAGGGGTCGCAGGGGGTGTATTTTCAGAGTTGGGCATGTTCCCTCATGGGGGCAATTTGTTTGTTATTGGACCTGCCCCCCACTGGCTCTCTATTTGGTTTGATTGCAGTGAGTAGTTTCTTGACCCGAAACTGAGCTTTGCTTTGGCCTTTCTTGGCTCCCTGTCTGCGTTTTTGGTTGAATGGGCAGAAGTTCTTTCACAACATCACAACATCCGGGGACCAAGCTCTATAAAAGGTTTTTCCCGCTGATTATTTTGCGCTTTTCTTGGCCCCGGTGCTTGCCACGAAAAACCCGGTGACTGATTGTGTTCTTATAGTTCATGTTAGCTTTTTTTGCTTCTTGGCAAATTGCATGTATTGCTTAAAGGTACCCTAATGGGCAAAATGCACCTTGTTAACGTTCTTTTTACTAATTGTGGCCCCGACTCCCGGTGTTCCAGGGAATCCCCAAGGTTTCAGAAAACCCACACCCTCTCTATTTTCCTCCATACCAAATCTCTTAAAAGGGGTCAACGGATTCTGATACAAGGGGCTATCCAGGATTTGGAACATTTTCGACGTTCAGGGACGGTGGCGGCTGAACGGTTATTTTGGGCCAAATCCCCCATCAGAGGGGCAGGCCCATGGGGACATTTGCCGTTCGAAGCGTTGGGAGACGCTGTCGTACAGTTATTTCAGGCCCCAGATGGGCTGTCTTCACAGATCAGAGCTATGAAGGCAGCAGTGTATGGAAGCGAATGAGGCAGGAATGGCTAAAGCCATGATCTTTGTTGGTATTTTGAACATAAATATGGCCTCGTATATAGTAGCTGGTCGTAGGACCTTTTATTATTTCAAATATTGCATGATAGGTCATTTAAACTATATAAAGTGGGTTGAACTTGTATAGCTTTCCTTCACCATTGGCTGGCTAGGGCGTTTTTGAATGCATTGGAAGGGCTGTTCCCTCTCATGACACATTGATAGGATGCCCTAACTTTGTTTGAATTGAAAAAATAAATGAAACACCTGTATTAGGGCTCAGACTTAAAGTCACAGGGAATATGGCACCCTTCTTAGACCATGTTAAGTCCCTTCCAGTGAGTCTGCCCACTGGCCTGTACCGCACAGGCTCAACGGATTGCTCCAAATGTTCTCGGGAGGTATTTATTTATTTTATATCTATATTGTTTATTTTTGTATTATTTTTTTTTTTTCCTGTCATATTACTTATGTGTATTGTAAACTGTGTATTGTGTCTTGGGTTTTTGTTTTGGATTGCAGGGGTTAAGCATGTATTGCTGCGTCTTTGTGTATGAAAATCGCAAAATTAAATCATGTATTAAAAAAAAAAAAAAGTGGTGTTTATACGTCGAAATGATCCCGCTAAAGAAAACATGTAAGTATCACAAATGTGTGTTTGCCACGGAGCCTTTTTTCAACGCAATATTACAAAATCCAATGGACAAATCCCATTGGCTTACAAAGATACAGTAAGTCACTGCACCCCTCTTTAATAGCAGGGGTTAAATGGAAAGACAAAATGTCACTTTATGTGCAATGCTGTGAAAATGTGAGTAATGAGGATTTCATACAACAAGACTTTTGAACCAATTGTCACTCGTCGTCATGTCTTAGTAATGATATATTTATCTGAAGTAGTTCTAAGGGTCCTGGAGGACGGAGGTCTTCAGAATCAGAATACCTTTATTGGTCCCATAGACGGGGAATGTTCAACTTACCCACGCAGATGGTGTTGGTGGAGTCCAGCTTGCTCCCGTGGGTGCACTCACAGTTGAAGGACCCGGCCACGTTGCGACACGCTCCATTGATGCAGGGGCTGGAGTCGCACTCGTTGATATCTGGAACGTGCAAACACACACACCTTAGGTCGAGGCTGATTCAAATAGATCATCATCATCATCATCATCAGTCAATCCTCACAGTGAATACAGAGCTAAATCCCAGCTAAAGGGTCTTCTCTCAGTGATTGTGCTGTTATGTTAAATATTTGTTGTTTGTTTTTCATGCATTGTGTCTTGATATTTGTCTATGTTGATGTTACACATGGAGCTGCTGTGATGCAAGTCAAATTTCAGTCTTGATCTGACCATTAAAGTATTATCGTATCTTATCGTATCACAATTTGGCAATGTGTGTGTGAGTGTGTGTCTCCATGAGCAACATGTTGACTAGAAACAGTCATTACAACACATCCAGTAATAATGTCACTTCCTAATGACAAACATGTGAGTGTGTGTCAGAGGGAGTGTGTGTGTGTGTGTGTGTGTGTGTGTGTGTGTGTGTGTGTGTGTGTGTGTGTGTGTGTGTGTGTGTGTGTGTGTGTGTGTGTGTGTGTGTGTGTGTGTGTGTGTGTTTACCCTCGCAGGTCTCTGACTCAGGTTTAAAGATGAATCCTTTAGGACAGGAGCAGGTGTAGGAGCCGGGGGTGTTTCTGCACAGTCCGTTGTCACAAAGCAGACGGTTCACATTACACTCGTTGATGTCTGCAGGGAGGCGAGAGAAGGCGAGGGTTAGAAAATAGGAAATGTAGAGGGTTTATTGCGTAAACCAGCCCTTTAAAGCCAGACTGTGCAGCTTTTGCTGTAACAAAAATAAATTACAAGTTCTCTTACATTAACATAAGTTGAAATAATATGAAATATTAACACACTTTTGTCATTTAAATCACTAATTGCTGCTGCCTGGAGCCAAGAAAAGCGATTTAAAAAGTATGCAACGTCATCATAATGTAGTCTTCAGGTCGTGGTGAAAAGGGTGGAAAAATCACTACTGCGCATATTTAGTGGGCCACATAACCAGCATATACACTAGAAGCTATGAAACTTTGTTGGCGTTAAGACTCAAAAGGCGCCCTCGGGACCAGTATCTTGATATTATAATAAATACATGATTTGCTAGTATGTTAAATGTGGGTTAAAGCTCCTTGGTGCTTGCTTGAGCTAGTAGCTTAGTACGGCTAATGTTAGCTAATGTTACCAAACCTTTCAAAGTTACTGCTGTAAAATAAGATGGCTCTTCTCTGCTTTTTACACTGTTGTAGCAATTACCTGTATAACTTGAGGATACAGTGGGGGATATTCAAACAGAGGTACATTTACTTTAACACAGAAACATGGCTAACGTTGCTAGCCAATGACTCCACTTGACTCACCAACACAGTTCTTGCCGCTGGTGTCAGACTCATATCCGATGTTACAGATGCAGCGGTAGCTTCCTCTCAGGTTCTCACAGATGCCGTTCTGACAAATGTCTGGGTCCAAGGCACACTCATTGATGTCTAGGAAAAGACAAACATTATTATAGATACATAGGCTACTGATTTGAACTAGCACTGTGGAAACATTCTAACCCTAACCCTTTCACATGAGCAACAAACTCACCTCTGCCATCAGCTGTTATGCCGATACCACTGCTGCAAACAGCCTGGAATTCAGCTGAAAGTAGAAATTGTAGCTTTAAAAAAAATGTACCAAGACTTCAGGGTAAAACAGAATCAATCAGATTAAAGATTGTACCAGAGTTTCTGGAGGGGCAGGGATTGCAGGGCTCTCCAAAGCCATGTTCAGCGTTAGCGCAGCAGCACTCAGACTTGGTGACCGCACCGGGGAACGGTCGAGAACATGTGCCCATCTTAATGGCGCCATAACAGGTGGTCCTCATGTGTGTGTCCACACACACTCTCCCATCCACATCGATGGCCAGGCCTGGAGGACACTCGCAGCGGAAAGAGCCCTCGGAGTTGATGCAGCGGCCGTTCATACAAATGCCAGGAGTTAGACACTCGTCGATATCTGATGGAGAGAGGAAACATTATTTATATATCACGTCTCGGATTGACTGAAAGAGAATTCCTCAAGACAGAAAATATGCGAAGGATTTTCTAAACAATGAATCTTGTATAGAGTATGTTTTTTATTATTCCAACCTATAGGTACAAAAAACGTCTACAACTACATCTCAAACATATTGAATTATGCAAGTCCCTGTTTTTTCATAGGAATACCTTACAAGGGTAACATTTTTACTGAATAAATACTATTAGATGCTAAGATGTAATTAATTTTAAAGTAGTTAAACATATGACCCACACATATAAACAGGGAATCAAAGACAGCTTGATAAGGACACATGTAGGTATCTGAAATGTAGAATTATCTAAATTGCTATGTATTGTATTTAAGATGTCCTACTTCCTACCCATAAAGCTGTCGATGTCTGGACTTTCTGGATTATTTCAGAGGATGTTGGACTTCTAAAACAGGCCCAACACTTCAAGTCTGTGTTTTCTCTTTATAAATCTTCCTACCTGTGCAGTAGCGTCCGTTAGGTGCTAAAGCGAAGCCCGGTTTGCAGATACACTTGAAGCTGCCGTCCTCGTTGATACACATGCCATTGAGACACATGTTGGTGGTGGCGCACTCATCGTGATCTGGACAGAAATAAGAGGAGGAGAACTTGAGTCAAGGGAGGCTGTGGCTCAGTGGGTAGTGTGCTGGACTTGGAATCAGGGGGTAGCAAGTTCGAGTCCCACTGCAGTCAACATTGTGTCCCGAGACACTTCACCCCAAATTGCTCCTGTGGGGATTGTCCACAGTACTGAATGTATGTCAGTCGCTTTGGATAAAAGTGTCTAACAAATGAGATGTAATGTTTTTTAAGGAATAAGTTAAAGTGTAGTTGAGTCTGTTTCTGTGTTTGCTGCTCACCCATGCAGTTCTTCCCGTCAGGAGTGAGCTCGAAGCCGGCGTTGCAGATGCACTGGAAGCTTCCCTCGGTGTTCACACAGCGGCCGTTACGACACATCACTCCGTTCACAATACACTCATCAATATCTGCAGAGAGGAGGGAAGACGATCAGGGCTTAGTGTGTATTTTAACCATCTGTCATTCAAAACATAACACATGTGTAAACCAGAAAACAAAATGCATGGGTTTAGTATTAGGAAATGTGTGGCAACATTTTGCATAAATACAAAACATGTGTTCTGATTTGTCTAAAGGCCTGACATTTTGAACGGAAATATATTGTGCAAGGATCTTATATGGATGCTACTTTGACATTTACAGAAAAGTGTTTCAATATTTAGGGTCAAGGGCTTTTGAAAAATAAGCATATTTTTACAATGAAAATGTAAGCACATGTTTTATATCAAAGTTAATATGATTCCCAGATAGCAAATACTTCATTGTTTACTTTTTGAGGACAATGGGGCTGCTGTCCATGTGCCCAAACACCAAATTCAAAATGACTTTTTGCCTTTCAGCCAAACTGTTTGATTGATTTGGACAATTTCTTCCCGATTTTTGCTTACACAAGCCAAGAAAACACTATTACCAAAGAAATTGGTTCTACAGAAACACCTTTATGTTACGGAAACACAGCAGAGGGAGACGTACCCATGCAGGCCTGTTTCGTGGGGGTTCCCTGGTAACCCTCATGGCACTTGCACTGGTATCCTCCAGGTGTGTTGACACAGTCTCCGTTGACACACGGATTACTCACACACTCATCCACATCTGGGGAGAAGAACAAAAAACAATGACTTATCTGGACGGAGAAACCATGACTCATCTGGACTGGCAATGTGAAGAATTATAAACAGATAATAACAACTGTGGATTAAAAAAAAACAGCTGTACCATTTTCACATTTGGGAAAGTAACATTTTGCTTTATTAACTTTTCCAACCTATGCATTAACCTACACTTATATTTAGTTCCTTAAATGAGCAGGAGATGGCAGTGCAGTGCATGCCATTACCTGTCGAGACTCTCTCTGCCTGAATATGGTTATTGAGAACTGACTGAAAAACATTGCATGTGCACCAAAGGTGGAATAAGTATTCAGATGATTTACTTGATACCAATACCACACTGTAAATACTCAATACAAGTTAAAGCACTGCATCGAGAATGGCACTTAAGTAAAAGTATTTAGGTACAATGAGGAAAATGTACTCATTGCATAAGAAACTGAAACAATCTTTAACATTTAAGAAGCTGGAACGGTGGACTTCTTTGCAAAATTGCTGCCAATGCATTTTCTGTTAACCAGAGGATGGTTTTTGGTGCTTAAAAATATAATGTTGGATGGTTTAATCCATACCAAATAATAATATTTTAAATGTTTTTCCTAAGTATTGTGTAACCTAAGTTATTTATCAAGTAAATACATTTGTAAAATAAATGCAGTGGAGTAAATAGAAAAAACATTTGCTTCCAAAAGTATAAAGTACTATACAATGAAAATACTCGGGTAAAGAACAACTACCTCAAATGTGTACTTGAACAGTATTTGATTAAATGTACTTAATTACTTTCCCCCTCTGATGAGCACTGATGCAGTATTTAAAAAGCGCTTGAAGCAACACTTAAGCGGCTGAATGTACATATTTTATGTTTGAATTGTCTTGGCCCCTGGTCTCAAGCGTACTATAGGTTATTGGGGGTGTCCCATTTCGCATGTCTCCATTATGTCCCATGATTGTACCTGTATTTCTTATTTAACTTGTGAATGAATTAAATGAGATGGTGTGTGAGAGCATGCTTCTCACCGATACACTCCCCGCGGACGTCCTGTCTGTATCCCATGTTGCACTCGCAGCGGTAGCTCTGCAGGGTGGGGATGCAGCGTCCGTTCAGACACAGGTTGGTGAAATGTTTGCACACGTCGATGGATTCATTCACAGAAACCGAGCCTGAGAAAACACAACAATAAAGAAAAACACTTACAACTGCAACACACACCCTTTCCTTCTTGTGAGTGTTCAGATCCACAGATCCTCTCACCTATATGTTGGTGTCTTCCTCCATTGCCTCCAAAGCTTCCTCCGTTTCCTCCAAAGCTTCCTCCGTTGCCCCCGATGCCTCCGTTGCCGTTACCGTTAGGAACTCCAGGATACTTGTAGCCATTGTAGTTGTAGCCATTGCCGTTTCCGTTTCCGTTGCCGTTGGGGAAGTGTATGTTGGGGTAGCCGTTAGGGAGGCCGTGTCCTTGGGCAACTCCAACGATACACAGACGCCTGAACTCGTCTACAAAACAGATCACAGGGTCAAGTCAGAGGATGCGTTACGGTACGAATAATTGGTTTCTGTGAGATGTAGCGGGGGGGAAAACAGATTCACAACCAAGATCCAAGAGCATCTCTGGTCAAAAAGAGAACTTAAAAAAACTCTCATTCCCACTTCAATGTGGACACAGACTGTGTTTCAATACAAATATGCACACTTTCTTTTATTCATTAATATATTGATATATTGATTGTGTAACTTCATGTGAGTCCATGTGTTGTTTGTAAGCCCCCTTACCTGGGACAATGTTTAATTACTAGGCCTATGTACAGTAGAGCTACAAAAGTAATACATTGAGGACTGGAAATGTTTTGTTTTTATAAATGTTTGTATTGATTCTTATATGTAATTCAGACTAGGGCTGAACGATTAATCGATTTTAAAACGAAATCGCGATTTGAAATTATGCAATTAAAAATTATTGTGTGTTAGTCATCCACACCAATCAGAAGTGCTGTGCTCCACATGTACCAGCCATTGTTAACCAATCAGAAGAGGCCCATGATAGTAGGTGACATATCACCTACTATCATGGGCCTGTCTATAGACAGATTGATCCAATCACCTGCCAAGTGCTTTTGAAAGTGCCTGCCCTTTCCAAATGGCTTCCAATTGAGCTTTCCTAGATGGTTTGGTGAAACAAACCATTTGGTGAAACAAACCATCTGAGTCAGGTTAGTAATGCTCCATCCAGAGTTCCCGTTAGCCGGTAATTACCGGACTACGACCGGTAAAATATGCTGAAGACCGGCAAATCTAAATCTCTCCGGTCAAAGTGTCCGTTCAAAACAATTTCCGTTTAGCGCAATACCGCATCAGTTGCGCAACGTGCGCCACTTATGTGACAGACAAAAGAGTATGTCACAGACAAGAATAGTCAATTCTAATGTCTAACACTTAATGTGGAGAAAGAGATGTCCTGTATGGGTTGATTGTGCGTTGATCTGCTGGTAATGCCTCGGGGTTCCGGTGGGCATGTAAACAAATGCATAATGCTGCGCTATACTTTGCGGCCTCACCCGGTTGCATAGCGACGCTTATTGTTTAGGTGTCTTTTAATAAACTGGTAGTCCCATCATTAGCTAGAACTAGCTAGATCTGATTGATATGGACATAAACGCGAGTAAAGTCTAATCTGACGGGAGAGAGAGATCAGCTGCTGCTGACGAGTCGACACGCAGCTCTGCATAATCACCTGCAGCGGTGAGCGGACAAAACACACACTTCAGGTTAGAATATCACACTTAGCTATTTTAATTACCTCTCAAACTACCGTAACTAGTTATAGATATGTTTAGTTTTACGGTCACTCATTACGGATCCGCGAGCTGCATGATACTGACGGGCTGTCAGGAGAGGGAGAGAGCGCTCCGTTTATTATTCCCGTGTTATTATAAATTACTGTACACTTTTGAATATAACACTATTATTGTTTAATAGAAATCAATTTGTTTAAAGTGTGTGTGTG